TCACGGAATGAGTGCGAGACCTGTGAATAAAACTATTTTGTTCTACCAATTTAATCAATTTTCGGGGAAGTCTCGTGACATTTTCATCTGGAAAATGCTTCAACAAGATGCCTCAGTAATGTGTAAAGATCCGCTGCAATGTTATGAGAAATTCTGACCCAAACGCGGACTATTTTTGATGAGTGCCATTGAAACCCGATTATACAAGTACATTTATAAACAGAAAAATGATGTATTGGAGCATCCAAAGGGCCTATAGATCTTACGAACACTACTCCATGCAACTGTTCTAATCCCATGCAATCGTTCTAATTCTTTGGATTGGATCTCTTTCGCATCGCAGCACGTACGTCCTCCAGGCAATTTCAACGCTGTTGTCGTGAGATACTGTGGTAGGTGTGCAATTTACAGCTCCTTTGGGGTACGGTGGTTGTTCGCCTATTGAAGTTACCGTGCTGTGGGAACCTATTGTGGGTTGTTTGAAACACTATCTCAGCGGGCAGGACGCAGAAGAACAGCCTGCCGCCTGGTCCCGCTCCCCAAATACGTTGGCACCGGGAGGGCCATGACTGCTAAGGAGAAACCTGATCATATGGCACATCCCCATGCAATGAAAGCGGAACACCTTCTGTTATTGCGGACTGCATTACCTCGTGCAAGGAAGAGGTTCTTCACATCAGTAATCGCGAAGTGTATCTTTAAGTTCTACAGCAAAGCGTACATGGTTGCACAATTAGAATTAGCTCTACTCAACGCGCCAGACATGATTAGTTCTGGGTCTTAATTCCTGGTTAGGGTAAAATTCCAAACCAAACACTCAATTACAACATCGGATTTATAATACATTTCAAACAAAGAAACGCATAACAAAGAAGATTTTGAATACGGAAAAAAGTTCATTCAACGTCTATACCACGTTCTATTGGTCGACATTCTATGTACATAAATAGATGTATTCCGAGAGAGTTTGAATTACCAACACTTCATAAGAGTATACAAACACCTGTACATGTATAACATAAACTCTGGAACAATAAATTCTTCTAACACTGGCAAAAAAAAGGAAAAACAGACCTATTCACAAGAGCAAAATTTACACGAACAACTTCTTTCTCACAACTTTCAACAAGAACTACATATATACAGTTTGACACAGACATATAAGCAGATATTCAACGTCATCATCAACAACAACATCGTAGCAGTCACCAGCTATTACAATCTATTCCTTTGCATCAACAATTCCTCCATTAGTAATAGCGAAAGTGGCCTCGTTTTCTGGCATGTCGGGGCTGTCATAGATCTACAATCACTTCGATTATCGAGCGAACGGGCAGTTACTCAAGTACTTTTCAGTGAGCCTGTTTAACATTTTGCTTAACGGATGTTATCAGACTGGCTACATCATCATTCGATGAGTAACGCAGCCTCATCGTGGCAGAGTTGGCACAGATCGTGGCAGAGACCTTAAAACCCTTTAGCAATGAAAGTTGGGCGTTGTCGCGGCCAGTGGGGACGCCGCGCCCCGAGTGCCGCCTATTGCTTCCTATTTTTGCTATTAGTTATTTTTTTTTGCCGGAGCCGGTGAGTTGATATCTTAATGAATAGAAATGACTGCATTTTCTATTCCTACTCGTGTCGGAAGGATGTAATAGCCTTTACGGATTGCCTGCAAATCGAAACAGCTAGCGGAGCCATATACAGAGGATGTTCAGGCTCAACTAACCTGGTACAGCACTTTTCCGCAACCAGTGCTTACTCGTACCACATTATTCAAATGTCTATTACCTTAGCAATACGAGTCTCT